CACCCCATCTTTTAAGTGGAATACCTGGCAAGGTTTTCTTGATGGTCTCTAAGGATCCTTCAGTGACCTGAATGACCAGCCTTTTATTCTTAATTACCCTGTCCCTCCCCGTTTATAACAAACTCCCTGCCCCAAAGGCAAAGCTGCAAGCAGCCCAAACTGTTGCATTTAAGAACTGCCTCTGGAGTCAGGGTGTGGGCTACCCCATCTTTTAAGTGGAATACCTGGCAAGGTTTTCTTGATGGTCTCTAAGGATCCTTCAGTGACCTGAATGACCAGCCTTTTATTCTTAATTACCCTGTCCCTCCCCGTTTATAACAAACTCCCTGCCCCAAAGGCAAAGCTGCAAGCAGCCCAAACTGTTGCATTTAAGAACTGCCTCTGGAGTCAGGGTGTGGGCTTTAAGCCGATCTCAAGCATGAAATCTAGGGGCCAAGCCCCCCCCAGTGGTGCCCCTGTCCTCATGATCTGTGCAAGTTCAGCAGCCTCATTGGTGCAACCTTGCGGCTTCGTGCAATGCACGGTGGCTGGAAGGAGCGCTGAGGAGTAGACGGGTTAGCAGAGAACGCAGGGGCTGGGAAGGGATAATTGTCTTGAAGCTGTAGGTCACAGTTGTTTATTTGACAGTTGATGCTTCACAAGCCACACCTGGCAGACAGGCGGCTTTGACCTTGAAAATCTAAGACAGAAATAACTCACCTTGTGTGGAATTGGAGCGAACTCGCAAGTGCTGGCAGGAGACATTGGAAAACTGATCTATTGTCATGCTGGCTTCTGCCCATAAATACGGACTGGGCATGGGTCACGACAGGGCCCATCCGAGTGCTGAATAAAGCAGAACAAAGCTAGAAACTGACTCGGATTCACCATTCCCCTATTTCCTTTTTTAGAGACGTCTTTGAGAGGCCTGTGCCTAGTTAACTAATAAAACAAGGCACACGGATTAGCTAAGCTAAACTTTATTTTTCTAGCAACATCCAATTTAGCAAACAGCCTGGGAATTGACTTGTTCAGTCGCCCTCCCACTAACTGTCACAGAGAGTTCTGAAGAAGGAAGCATTGCAAAGTAGATCCACCTTGTTCTTCAGCCATAGCCACATCTCCAGCCCCAGCATTTCCGCCCAATTAGCAGTTTTCCGTATGATGGTTCATTCTTGCAGTAGGCCCGGAACTGTCTTTTTGCCACGCTTACAGTTTTCTGCTTTACCCAGGGCACACACTTCTTCAGCATATTCCCGGGTAGCGTCTCCTTTACACCCAGAAGCCAGGGCAGTTTTTCTGTGGCAAAAGTGTAGGGGAATATAGGAAGCTGTGTGTGCTGAAAAATGTCTTGCCTTTTTCTTTCCAGTCCGCTCCACTGTTCCTTTCTGTGCTGCCTCAGTCCTTCCCTAGATAGCGTGTCTCTGTCTTTAGACAGTGTCTTAACTAACTCTGCCATCTTGGCCCAGGGCCACCCCCACAGAAGTGCAGAGCAAAACCAACCCTGCCCCGCCTGGCGCTGTCTTCGCACGTCAGTCTGCTGAGAAACAGAAATCGAAAGCCCAGCACTGTCAAGAGGCAAGAGCTGGCTGTTTGGCTGGGCTGAGCAGAGCCGGCCACACGTGGAAGCGCAGCCGGGCTGTGATAAGATTGAATTGTACCTGTTGTTTTTAAACGAGAAATTGAGGATTTTATTAATGATTAAAAAACCAACAGCCCTGATTTAAATGAAAAAAATCCATTTTTAATTTGTTTTTAAACCTTTGAATTGTATCCACCCTGCTTTCCCCACTGGTGCACTTCAGACTCTGTTGCTTATGTCCCTGTTTGACCAGGCCACGTGTGTATTTGTTAAACTTCTCATTTCAGTATCATCCACAGGCCTGGTGACGGGAATCCCTAGGGGAGGCAGCTGTGTAGGAGACAGATCAGGGCTTCCATTCGCTTGCGTTTCACTTGATTGATGTCTAGTTAGAAGAGCCTCTAGAACAGTGGCCCCCAACCTTTTGGGTGCCCGGGGGTGGGACCATGCATGCACCCAGGGCCCGGGGCACAAGAATGGCTTGGGCCGGCCCTGGTCACTCAGCGAGCGCGCACAAATGCCCCGACGGGCGCCATGGCGCCTGCGGGCACCGCGCTGGGGACCACTGCTCTAGAACCTCTCAGCCAGGCCTGGGTCGGGGGGATAAGTGACAAGCACCACAGCTGCTTCGTCCAGGTGGCAGGAGCCGCTCCGTCCCATTGCTCCTGCGCCGACAAAGAGCCCTCCCTAGCGATCAGAAAGGGAGCAACTGGCTGAAACCAAAGTCAAGGCATCTCGTAGCTCCAAGAGCGGCCAGTATCCAGACGCGTCTCCTCCTTGAGCTACATGGCGCAATTTATATTCTGAGCTTCGAGCCAGAAAAGGGCAGTTGCTTGGGTCTCTGGGCGTCTGTGGGATCAGATGCTCACTGCTCTGAGCCATGCTCCTGTGCACGTCGATAACATTCATGGGAGCGATTTTCTCCCCCAGATGGCACCAGCGGTTGCGAATGTGATGCCTTACTGGGAAACAGGAGTGAAATCTTGATCTCTCGGCACTCACGTTGGTCTAAGCCGGATGCTCTCTAGGTGCACGTCGAGCCTCTCTCACCCGGGACTCCCTGGTCCAGCAGCATCTGAGCTCTGGCAGGAGCACGGCTGTTGCTAGACCAGAGAGACGTGGGCAAGTGCCAGTGCCAGGAGCCCTGCGGGGGCCAGGAACCCAGCCAGGCTGGCTGCAGGGAGGCCAGCGGCTGGGATCCCTGCTGCGGGAGTCTGGCTGAGCACCGCGGTGGCAGAGCAGCCGGAATGTCAGCAGACTTCGGCAGGGTAGCGGTCGGCCGGTGGAGCCAGGAGCCCTGGCGGCAGGGCTGGTGCTGCCCCAGTACACCTGGCAGGGTCAGGGATCCTGGTGGCTGAGCAGCAGTCTAGCATGGGAAAGGGAGGGGGAGGTGGGCAGGAGTCCAGTGGGGGACCGTGGGCTGGCAGGGCAGTGGTTTGCCGTGGCGAAGCTGAAAGCCCCAGCAGCGGGACCGTGGGCTGCCGTGGCAGAACTCGTGGGGAGCTCGCTGGGATGCCAGATCAGGAGCAGAGCAGGGCTGGGAGGCCCGTGGCAGGAGGGCAGAAATGACCTTCACTAGTCTGGCAAATCCCTCCTGCAGGACCCCTTGGGTCGCGAGGGTGCCAGGCCAGGCAGGCCCAGCCAGCAGGACCTTCCGCCTTTGCATAGAAATCGCAGCTGATCCCTTTCGCTTTCCTTTCAAGGTGGCCGAGAAAATAAAATGCCCATCCTGATCTCCAAGATCTTTAAGGGGCTGGCTGCTGATCAGACAGAGGCGCTGTACGTGGGAGACGCCATTCTCTCCGTCAACGGGGCCGACCTTTCGGAGGCGACGCACGATGAGGCCGTGCAGGCGCTCAAAAAGACGGGCAAGGAGGTGGTCTTGGAGGGTGAGTACCAGAGCAGGGCCGTGTGGGGCGTGGTGGGTGTTGGCCGCGAGCCACGTGTGCTGAGACGCATCTACCCCCCTTCCGCCTCCTGGCGGTGCTGCTGGGTGGGACGTGGCCGTTTCTGCACGGGGCAGGGCGAGCGGAGCGGCTGCCCTGGGCCCCGCGCTTCAATAGGCCCCGCGCACGCTACTTCTGGTCGGCTGCTGCTGAGGCGCATGCGCAAAATTGTGCCTCCCCAGGCCCCGCGGCGCAGCCCTGGGCCCCGCAAAATTATCATCCGCCCCTGGCATGGGGCATGTCGTTTCAGTGCTGCGAGGGTCCCTGGAGGGCTCTCCCCGCTTTGCACCCAGATGCCCTGCATTCGGGATCTTTCTGGCCCCCCAGGGCGTGTGGGGCTCGGCTGGGCCGTGCATGAATCGGGGAACAAGGGCAGAGGGGCCAGCGGGCCACGGAGAAGAGAGTCTGCACTTGGGAATGCTCAGTGCTGAGGACAGGCCACGTCCCTCCCTCCCCCGCCCCCGATCCCACTGGGGTTCTGCTTAGCCTCACCAGAACCGTGGCCTGGGCCGAGGCTTCCTGCTGGGGATGCCTTTGGGGCCGGTCTGACGTGCTGTAACATGGAGGCAGT